TCCATGCTGTGGAGAAATCTTTTGTGAAAAGAAGAGTCAACCAATGCAGCAAACTTCATTTTTGTCTTATTTTTAGAACTTTCCACAGCCACCCCAACCTTCAGCGAACCCTACTTTGATTAGTCAGCAGCTCTCAACATTGAGGCAAGACTCCACCAGCAAAAATATTACTAAATTATTAGCATCTTTTAGCGATAAAATATTTTAAAATTCAGGTATGTACTTTTTTTTTTTTTAGACATAATGCTAGACCAGGCACGGTGGCTTACGCCTGTAATCCCAGCACTTTGGGAGGCCAAGGCAGGTGGATCATGACGTCAGGAAATCAAGACCATCCTGGCTAACACGGTGAAACCCCGTCTCTACTAAAAATACAAAAAAATTAACCAGACGTGGTGGCAGGTGCCTATAGTCCCAGCTACTCGGGAGGCTGAGGGAGGAGAATGGCATGAACCCGGGAGGCAGAGCTTGCAGTGACCCCAGATTGTGCCACTGCACTCCAGCCTGCGCAGCAGAGTGAGACTCCATCTCAAAAAAAAAAAAAAAGACATAATGCTATTGCACACTCAATGTACTACAGTATAGTGTAAACAACTTTTTTATTTTATTTTATTTTATTTTATTTTATTTTATTTTATTTTATTTTATTTTATTTGAGACGAAGTTTTGCTTTGTGCCCAGGCTGGAGTGCAGTGGCGTGATCTCGGCTCACTGCAACACCTGCCTCCTGGGTTCAGGCGATTCTCCTACCCCAGCCTCCCAAGTAGCTGGAATTACAGATACATCATGACCACACCTGGCTAATTTTTGTATTTTTAGTAGAAACAGAGGTCTCATCATGTTGGCCAGGCTGGTCTCAAACTCCTGACCTCAAGTGATCTGCCTGCCTAGGCCTCCCAAAGTGCTGAGATTACAGGCATGAGCCATCACCCCTGGCAGTGTCAACAACTTTTATATGCACTAAGAAACCAAAAAACTCACGTGACTTGCTTTATTGCAGTATTCACTTTACTGAGATGGTCCGGAACTCAACCTGCAACATCTTGGAAGTATACATGTAGATACCTGTGAGTTTTGTCCAGTCCAAACCTAACATTGACTAGAAGTCAGAAGTAACTCTTTTAGTTACTTTAAATGTAAAAAAATTACCTACCTTTAGAATAAGTAGGATATAACAATAGTCTTATTCGGTTGACATGAAACTTAGGGCAGCAGAAAGGGTTTTCTGATTACTTTCATCACTTTTTTTTCAGTGTGTGAGGACTTAAGAATTGGCTTTTCTTATGCCAGAAATCTCCAAGGGACCAGTCTTAAAAAGTGTATAGTGATGGAAAAGTCATCATGAGCGGGTAGGACACCTATGGATCTGTGGAATGTCTAAACCTAAGGGCATCATTTACGAACACTTGTTACCTTGGTCCCTGTTATTAATCTGAGGACTGATTTGTGATATTGCAGGAGCATAAGATTTGGTAGACACTATCATTCTCAATTTCATTCTGGCTTGAGACTTGACCACTCATAGATGGCCCCCGTCATCATTTGATAGAGTGAGGAAAAAGCTATCCTTGAGGTTTTTGTTATATTTCTCAGTCACTGAGCATGTTTGAAATTCGTCTCTCTCAGGTCTCTGTAGGTCTCCTTTGTGAAAAGAAAAGAACCGTCTTATGGATTTCTGGCTCTTAAAAAATAGGGTCATCTGGTAACACTGGGCCCCTAACATCGCATGGCAACAGTGGGCGGCAGGTGAATTTTAAATAGGTGCAGGTTGACTTATTTGCTACAGTTCTTATTCTGTGACTCTACATCTAGTCAAAGCCTTTGCTCCTTTGTTTTCTTACAGTCTCCTTTAGGCATTTGAGTCTGTGGCCCTTGATGTAAAGAAAACTAAGCCCCGAGAGAGAGTGTTTCTCACTAGCTGAAATCTCAACATGCTGTTTTAAGCTTTGCACAAAGTTAATTCAGTTGTACTAATGGACTGCAAAGTCTGATAATTGATTCCCAACTTGTCCTGAATTTCAGATGGCCTATATGAAAATCCAAGTAGCAGTGTGACTCACTGCCTGCACCCTGTCATTTTTCCCACATGGTGAAGGTTTTTGAGGGAGCTCTCTGTAGGGTTCAGTGAAAGTGACATGTATCTGTTTCCCTGTCTGAGGATGCATGACCTCAAGCTTGAGATATCCACCCCTCAGTGAAATGTGTAGAGGAGATGTTTGTTTGCTGCTAGTACTTTGTTAGAAAATGATTTTTAGGGAAAAGGTGAAATAATGATGTTTCTTTTCAGGTCAAAGTAGTACATGCGTAGATTATTTGCCTTGGCAGGTTTTTCTTTTTTTCCTAGTATAGTTTCAGGAGGTCCAGCAGGGCAGACTTTGTGTTTGTGTTTGTTATGTTGACTCTGGAATTGGCTGTCAATATTGTTGATGAACCTCTGATTAATTTTTAAGCAGTTAAACTATACTTCCAAAACTGGCTGATGAAATTGCTACTTTTCAGTTTGGGGTGATCCAAGAGATAATAACTCCCTGTTCCACGTAATAAATGTTTATTAAGCAATTATTATGTGCAGGCCTTTGAGCATAGTGCTAAGGGGCAGCGAGAGACCCAGAAACCAAGCCAGAGTGTCACCTGTGCTGTAAGTGCAATGGCAGGCTGTGGAATCAGGGAGAACAGAGGAAATAGTGTTTACACTGCTATGCCCTGCTATAGTCTTTCAGGTGTCCAGATAGTTTTATGTCTGTAATTTTGCTTCTTAAAACATGTATAATTATGTATATCTCATCCAGGAGTTTCACTTGGTAAAAAAAGAAATGTTTAGAACCATTTATGAGGTAGATTTACTTAGCACCATGGGTCATTTAGAATGTTTATTTCAAGAATACATCCACTATCTGGTTGGTAACCTATTCTAACTAATTCTGTTCTGCAGGTATATAATCAGAGGATTTTGTTAAATAGGAAATTCAAATGAGTAACAGGAAGTCAAAAATGTTGTTTTAGCTCTTTTTTTTGCTTGTTTAGACAGAATCTCAATCTGTTGTCCAGGCTGGAGTGCAGTGACATGATCATGGCTCCCTGCAGCCTTGACCTCCCAAGACTCGGTGATCCTCCCACCTCAGCCTCCCAAGCAGCTAGGACCAGCAGCATGTACCCCACGTCAGGCAAATTTTTTTTTTTTTAAGAGATGGGGTCTCCCTATATTGCCCAGGTTGTTCTCAAAATCCGTGACTCAAGTGATCCTCTCACCTCGGTGCCCCAAAATGCTGGAATTACAGGTGTGAACTACCACACCCCAGCCCGTTTTAGCTCTTAACTTTTATAATGAAGATAATATCTTTTTGACAAAATATCTAAGTCTAGCACTTGCGTAGGCTGTTTCCAGACTCCAGAAGCAGTACCCATTATGACAATGAAGACATGAGAAGTACACAGCAAGTCATTGGGAGATATTTGCTAGTTGTGTCACCTAGGAAAGTTATTTAAGTTCTGTGAGTCTTAACCATAGAATAAGGTTGATAGTACCTACTTTTAGGGTTTTAGGGAGAACTAAATAATCTGGTACAAGGGTTTGGCATGTAGTAAACAGTAAATACTTGCTATTATATTTTTAAAGAGTTTTTTTTTTTTTAATTATATTGGGTCTTTTAAATTATCTTCATTTGTTCAGTTTCATGTTTGTGGTTGTTAGATTTTTTTTTCTTTCTTTGGTCCATGGAAAATGATCATGAATCCAGATCTCTGGGCCAGTAGTAATACATTTGAGGATCATAAATTAAACTTTTGAGAATGCAAAATGGCTACCAGACCCTAAGCCTAGCCCTCAGCCAGGTCATTCCCCTTTACCTTTTTGCCCCTGTCCATTTTTGTCTCACAGGAACATAATAGGATACTCGGGGACCACCCCAGACATTAATAAAAGAGCCAACTCTTTTTTTAACCCTTTGTATTTGCCAAGGCCTATGTAAGCACTTTACCTATATTTTTAGGTAATCTTCACAGCAGCACTCTGCAATGAGTGTTATGATTATCTTCCCCATTTTACACATGAGGGCACTGAGGTTTGAGAAATCTTTCAGTTAAGTAAATTTTAGAGCTAGAATTCAAAGCCAGATCTAACTCCAAAGCCGAAGCCTGGAAAAAGGGGAGTTGGGCTTTGTGGGCTCAAAGGTGATTCACCCCAGTTCCCAGTCCCTCGGGACTTCATGCTCTACCAAGGAAGTATAGCATTTTTGTTGCTTTCTGAGTATTCTCAGTCTGCTCACCCTGTGCAAGCACCTCTTTCTTGGCGGGATCCCCTATTAGATTCCTGTGGCTGCTGTAACAAATAAACTTAATGATTCAAACAACAGAAATTTATTTGCTCACAGTTCTTAATGCCAGAAGTTCAAATTCAAAGCATTGGCGGGACCGTACTTCCTTCAGTGGCTCTTGGAGATGCCATTCTTTGCCTCTTCCAGCTTCTGGTGACTGTCAGCATTCCTTGGCCCGTTTAGCAGCACTCCAGTCTCTGCCTTTGTCTTCATACGGCCTTCTCCTCTGCATCCTTTAAATCTCTCCTGTGTGTCTGTATGCTTGCCATTGGACTCAGGGCCTACCCCAATAATCCAGGATGGTCACTTCTTCTCAAGATACTCAATTAGATCTGCAAAGACCCTTTTTCCAAATAAAGTCACATTCACGGGTGCTGAGAATTAGGACATAGTGCCATCTTTCAGGGACCACCATTCAACCCATGACACATGCTGATGGGTGCATTTCAAGCAACCAGGCAAGCTCTTGTCCTTTAGCATGCACTGTGGGCAGGTATGACATCTAGCCAAGGCTACTTTTCCTGTGCAGTGGCTGATTATCTGCAAGATTTTGCAACTTATTTTAAGAGTGTCTCCAAGCTTTTAATATGAATGACCCCAACTTAGCTAGAACTAAAACCTCTGGGGCTTCCCCTTAAGTGGTCGCCTATCTCAAAAGGTTTTATTTTGTTGTTTGTTTTGTTTTAGATTGCTGACCTGCAGCTGCATAAACTGGATGAACTGGACTGTCTGATTCAGGGCCTGCTTTATGTCGACTCTGTTGGCTTCAACGGCAAGCCAGAATGTTACTATTTTGAAAATCCCACAAATCCTGAATTGTGTCAAAAAAAGCCGTACTGCCTTGATAACCCATACCCTATGTTGCTGGTTAACATGGGCTCAGGTGTCAGCATTCTAGCTGTGTACTCCAAGGACAACTATAAAAGAGTTACAGGGACCAGGTAAACATGTTTCCACTTGTGCTTGAACCCAGACCTCTTTCTTGATGATCAGTTTATAGTAAAAGTTTATGCATATTGAATACATCTTTAAAAGAAATATCTTGACCTCCTTGGCCAACCAAAAAGAATTTCTCAAATGGTGTGTTAAAGTGGTATGTGGGTGATTTATATAAATGTTAATAAAACACAGTCCTTGCCTTGATAGAAATTTTGGTCAGATTGAGGGAAGAAGGATTGCACACACCAGAAATTTGCCAACAAGGGGGTATACATTAAGTGTCAGATGACTGGCAGGGTCAGTAGAATTCAGATGGAAGAATACTTGGGATGGTCAGAGATGACTTCAGAAGAAACCTTCTTTTGGACCCTCATTGATGCCTAGCTCGGAATGACTTGCTTGAAATAATATACCAATCCAAACAACAAACCAAATTAGGTCTACAAAGAATGTCTTTTTACCCTCAGCCAAATGCTCCACCTGAAAACGGGAATAGTCAGCACACCTCATAGGGAATTTTGGAGTGGAGTAGACAGGGAAACAGCACCATGGCCACAGTAAGACAGAGGGACTTGTTTTTTAGTGCACACACCCCAAGGCCCATGTAAGAGCCAAGGGGCTCAGCTTCCTGTTAATGGGGATTCAACATGGGAAAAACATCTGGGGTCAGATCTCTCTAAAACATCACAGTGTAAACAAAACTAAATAGGTTTTCCTTAATTCTAGGAGGAGAATTTGGTATGAAGCATTTCTCCAGCATGTGGAACCATAGAACCCATTTTTAGAGGAGCATCTTAGGAGATTAGTGCCATGCAGAATGTGCTTTGGGATTTGGTGTTGAAACCCGGGTTTTTGATAGCTGCAGATATGTCACTTCTCTGGGTCTCAGTATCATCATTTCTGCCATGAAGGGGGTTGTTTCTTAGATTACTTCTACAGACTTCTCCAGTACTGAAATTCTGCAGGACTACTCACCCATTAGGAGGAGAACATTGCTTTTGCAGTACATTTCCATGACTTGTGATAGATGAGTGGCTCCCCACTGAAGAGGCGAAGATTTAACAATGTCCCCCAGGATATGTTTGACGTTTTTTTTCCTTTGGTTGTTGCAACTGGCATCTACTGGGTAGAGGTCAGGGGTGCTGCTAAAATCCTGTAGTACATAAGGCAACAAAAAATTATCGAGCCCCAAATATCAGTAATGCTGCCGTTGAGAAACCCTGGCATGCATGTACACACACACACACACACACACACACACACATACACATTCTAACTGAAGCCTACTTGTGTCCAGAGTATAGGCTTTGTTTTGTAAGTTAATTGCTACCAAGTATACATTTTCTTATTGAGAATATAGAAGCTTGCTTGCTCACACAAGAAACAAAACTGACTCCGTGACCTCATGAGGACTGTGAGGAGTATCAGAGACATGAATGTTTCAGCTGAGCTGGTTTTACGTTAGGGAGTGATTTGATAAACATATAATTTTTAAGAAACTACAGACCTCCTCCCAGAAGGAGTAATTGAATTGGTAAAGCTAGTCCCAAGGTAAGAGCAAGCTATGTGTTGTTCACAATTAGAGATATTTACAGTTTTATCAACACTTAACAATTTAATGAATTACATCACAGGGACACTTTCTTAAACTTGGAGGCTCCATGGATCTGGGTCATCTTGAATAGCTGCGAAGAAGCAAACTGTGGTGTTTGGCTTCTGTTATATGTGTAATAATGTCTATAAATATTGGTAAATGCCCTTTAATGTCCAGTATTCTCCAGTCATCAACAAATTCTGTCTGGATGTTCCAGCTTCCCTATAAACTCTCTCTTCAATCAGTAGCTTTGGAAAGGTGCTACCGAAGCCTGCAGGTTAATAGAGAACCCTTTCAGGGCTACCACGAGAGGGGAGGGGAATGAAACATCAAGTCTGTGGAGCTGTGATCCTGATCCAGAGTTGTTTTGCCAAAGGTTTCTTTTAATTCAAGTTAGGAAACCTCTGACATAAACGATTACAGTTGGCAGTGAAGTTAGTATCTACAGTTAGCGTGAGTGTGTAAAACACATTTTAGGAACCACTGTTTTAGCAAATGGCTTAGCTTTAAGTTTTGCTACTCCTATTGTGAACTGATAGCTGTCACTCCAGGTTTTTTCTTACTGTATTATACCTGATTTTCCCATTAAACTTTAAAGTTGTTTATTTTCAAGAAGCTACACAGGATGTTTCCTTTTAAACATGATTTCAAATGATTTATTTCAGTGTTACATATAATTTTGTTGCATCCCAGATTGGGTAGCAACATTTTTTTCCTAATGAAACAACTCCAATTATAGAAGTCAATGGAAAAAATAGTACTTTATAGCTGACATTAGAATGTGTAGTTTGTTAAAAGAGGAATGCACATGATTTTGAAACTTTGGTGAAAGTAGCAGTACATCTCATCTCATTATTTTGGAATCTGTTTTAAGGGCATGAGCACTTAACTGAAGGTTTCTTCTGCTGTTTCCTAAAATCCCCCACTATGATGTTGTTTTGTTTTATTTTTAAATGGTGATAATATTCTACAGCTTTTTCTTGCATTTTTTTTTTGTCTCTTATACACTGAGGGTTTTTACTGTATGCCTACTGAAACAAACAGATGTATCTGACTGTGAGCAGGGAAATCACTTGATTAAATAATGGTTAGCAGGTTGAGGACATTAATAAAATGCTGGGAGACATTTGGCTCCTCTGCAGCTGTGCATTCTTTCCTCCTATCTGCAGTGCACTCGCTGTCAAATGCATGCTCGCTTTACCTCATTTGTTCCAGTTCTTTATGTGGAATCGTCTGTCATCTTCCAGTCATACAAGGCATTTGCCCTTTTTCATTTATACCAACACATCAGCCAATGAGTTACCTTCTTTCTAAGTCAGCCAGTGTCTTCAGTTGCCTACCTTTGAGTGGGTTGTTGAATGCCTCGATTAATACAAATCCTTAATGTCCAAAGAAAGGTTATTCGTGGGGGTGAAAGATATTTAGAAGCTAGAAATGGGAGCAAAGACGTCTTTCTAAAAATACACAGGGAGAAAGCAAACCAAATCCAAATGGCACACAAACCAGAACATGTTCCCACACTAGCTTTGTAGGTAGACTGAAACCAGCAATGTAGAATGACATACTGCATTAAATGTAAATAAAGATAAACTTTCTTAGAGGAAATCCAAAGTTTCTACTGTGACTAAGTTGTGAAGGTAATAATGTACATGGACCTCTTCTTTTACTCATGGAACTGCATCTACAGTTTGGCTGGCTGCTACTGGTGGTGCCTAGCTACATAATTTTCCATGAAAACCCATAATTTCAATCATATATATATATGTGTATGTGTATGTGTATGTGTGTATATATATATATGAGTAAATTAAGTAAAATAAATATATATATATATTTTTTTTTTTCTTCAGACGAAGTCCAGCTCTGTCACCCAGGCTGGAGTGCAGTGGCGCAATCTTGGCTCACTACAATCTCCACCAGGGTACAAGTAATCCCCCCACCTCAGCCTCCTGAGTAGCTGGGATTACAGGCGCATGCCACCACGCCTGGCTAATTTTTGTATTTTTGTATTTTTAGTAGAGACAGGGTTTCACCATGTTGGCCAGGCTGATCTCAAACTCCTGACCTCAGGTGATTCACCTGCCTTGGCCTCCAAAAGTGCTGGGATTACAGGCATGAGCCACCACGCCTGGCTTCAATCACGTATATTTTTATACAAATGACAATTTAAGAATATTACACATAGTTTCTCTATTTTATTTTATTATTTTTTGAGATGGAGTCTCGCTCTGTCTGTCGCCCAGGCTGGAGTGCAATGGTGCAATCCCGGTTCACTGCAACCTCCACCTCCTGGGTTCAAGCGATTCTCCTTCCTCAGTTTCCCAAGTAGCTTGGATTATAGGTGTGAACCACCACACCTGGCTAATGTTTGCATTTTTCATAGAAACGGAGTTTCACCGTGTTGGCCAGGCTGGTCTCAAACTCCTGACCTCAAGTAATTCACACGTCTCAGCCTCCCAAAGTGCTGGGATTACAGGCATAAGCCACCACACCCAGTCAGTTTCGTTTTAGATGCATCTTCAAGAACTATGTACCTGTCTACAGTTTTGTACCTTCTTGTTAACAGTTATTGACCTTAAACATAACCTTAATCCCAAATTGATTTTATTCTTAGAAGTAAAAGCCAGTGCTCAAACACAAATTGAATTTCCAAAGCTAGTAGCTTCTTGGGGCTTTAGAACAGATGGATGTGAGCAGCTCTTCTTCATTTACTCTTCTACATGGTAAAGAAATAGGAAAACCTATGTCCATTAGTTTCAAGAATCAATGCTTCTTTTCCTGCTGGGAGTTCACTGGCAATACTTTACTCTGAATCTGCTTTTCTTTCCATTAGGTAACTTTGATATTAATACACAATTGAGTTCATTCTTGGCTACTGTAATTACTTTCTAATTTTGTCTAGGCTATTTTAGAGGAAATTTCCCCCTAAACAAGTCAAAGGTTTTTAAATGTAGTTCAACCATTGGAACCACTTTATGACCTTTGTTACTGTTTTTTACTATTGAGTGGTAAGTAATATATTAAAAAACCTTCTGGAGAGTCTACTAGAAAAAAATTCAGTGTCAGATCAATGGTTCCCTTCTAGAAATATTCAAGGAGGCTAAATGAGATTATCTCTGCTAGAGAAGCAAGGTCAGGTCAAAGACAGCTTTTAAAACTGGCCACTCCTGGCACAATCCTGTGTCAGTTTTGTCATCAGAGGGTTTGGCTTCATAGCTGTGAACTATGCTTTATGTACACACAAATTCTTTTTCTAGGTATTTATATTCAGCTGCATATGGTTTTTTAATAGGAGTTATTTCTTGGTTGTTTGCTGCTTTCAGACCACCCAAATAGAAGAGATCATGATTTGGCCCCATTTCGTAGGTGGGAAGGCTGAACAAAGCACTCAGGTTAGTGGTTAGGTGAAGGTCTCACAACAGAAATCAGTGAGAGTCTTTCTTTGGTTTTGTTCTCAAATTTAGGGGCAAATTTTCCTTGATGTTTATTTTTAGACTCTGCCCTCTTTTCATATCCAGTCTACCCTAAAGCTCTGTTGCACCCTAGCACTTTAATTCAAGTGCCCCTTTGTTCATCTGCTTTTATTCACCCATATTAATAGTCTTGACGTAGTTGGGGACTTGGATGGGCATATCTTAAAGTAAAATTTAAAAATAAACCTTATTGTTCCTTCAGTCTTGGAGGTGGAACATTCCTAGGCCTATGTTGCTTGCTGACTGGTTGTGAGACCTTTGAAGAAGCTCTGGAAATGGCAGCTAAAGGCGACAGCACCAATGTTGATAAGCTGGTGAAGGACATTTACGGAGGAGACTATGAACGATTTGGCCTTCAAGGATCTGCTGTAGCATCAAGGTAGAGATTAAGTAGCTAGGAGCAGTAGTGATTAAACACAAGGCAGCCTCTCCACCCTGGCCATTCACTAAGTTATGTTTTAAAATGTCAATCCACCAGCCTGGTGCAGATACCTGTTGTATCAGAGCTCAGACTTGATCTCCTGCCCTTGATGAAGCACTGAGATATTTAGCTCTTGATGCTTGTTCTTAAAATAAGGCAACTTTGAAAGAAGGTTCTAGAAAACTGCAATAGTTTCACCTGTTTCATTCTTGTCCAGATATCTAGAGGCATTAAATTTTTTTCCCCCATCAATGGACATGCTACTTTGTCCCTATTAAGAAAAGGGCAGTCAGCCATGCATACTATAATCTTGTCTGCTTATAAACCATAGTAGCAAAATTGGATCACTTGAGTTTGAACAGTTACTCATAGAGCCTTCCACAGTACTTTGGTGGAAGGATGGGCCCTGCCTGAGGACGATTTTGAACACTCTCGCTAATATTTCCAACATAGCTTTGGCAACATGATGAGTAAAGAAAAGCGAGATTCCATCAGCAAGGAAGACCTCGCCCGGGCCACATTGGTCACCATCACCAACAACATTGGCTCCATTGCTCGGATGTGTGCGTTGAATGAGGTAAGGCCTTACTCAACCTGGTGAAAGCTGTTTGTCATTCATACACATCATCTGGGCAGTGCAATACCTGCTGACTCTTACACAGCTGCATATCCTTAGGAAAGCTTCCCTTTACTATAGTCACACTTTACGGAACAGGAGGGGTGTGTGTTGGGGGAGGGGGAAGAATATATGCTTTATTTTTAAGAAGGCACTGGATGATAATGAATGATAATGTGGAAACATGATACAATTACAACCCATGTCATAGTCTCTCTAACCGTCATTATTGCCATGTGTCCACTGAAATGTGAGGAAAAGGTCTGAGCATCCTTGCACATAACTGCAGGTAAAATGCTCGACTTGCAATATTCGATATTCTCTCTGCTTTCAGCTTCTTTACAGTGTTGCCTTGTGGCATGGAGTTCAAGCAGCATTGTACAGGGCTATCAAAGCACAGAGAGCTTGCTACAGCCAAGGCCAGCCAGAGCCCCAGGCACAAAAATGGGTGGAGCTGGTGACAGACAAAGTTTTATTAACATGTTTTGAAGCACTGCAAGATTCGCTTGGAAAAAATTGAACCTTTTCTGAAATACAAGGTGTGTAAAGTAGAACTCTTCACACTGAGGTGTATTAGAAAGACAAGAAAGAAGAATTGGGGCATGGAACAGGTCATAGGAGAGTATTAAAGAACCACAGTAGCTCTGTAATGGAGTTTTGATAAATATAGCTTTTAATAGAGAGGTGATATACATACAGAAGAAGGCTCAAATTATAAGCTTACAGTTGAATTTACACCACATAAGCACCCCTATATAGCCATCACTCAGATCAAGAAATAGAATATTATAGGTACTCAGAAAGCCCCTTGAGCCCCCTCCCAGTTGAATAGTTGAATGTTAGCGTATGGGGCAGTCTTTATGATACATGGGTGTTAGCCCTGCGTTTGAGTTCTGGGTTGACGAAAAACACACTCTCCTTGCATAACACTGATCAGAGTATGTTACTGGCGTGCAGATCAGGGACATACCTTTTCGGAAGCCTTCAGTTCAGATGGAGTTTAAATGGGAGGCTGATACTGAGAGAAAAGAGCATTCCAGAGATGTTTTTTCAAAGTCCACTTGAGTCTTGGGACTCAATGTAACAGAGTTTATTTCTTGACATTAACCTTTAAAGGGAATTTTTCCAAGTAATGAAACAAGCCCCAAGACCAATATGTGTGTAGCTGGCTGTACTCATGGGCTCTCAAAGGTCAGCTGGTAACACCCCTTGCCCCACAGAGCAATAGATGCCCTTTCCCCTACTTTCCACAGAGCTGGCTTCTTGTGCTTTTGGCTGGAGTGAGCCAGCAGGTCAGCAGGTCTTTTCACAGGTATCAGAATCCCTTTGGGAGAGAGCGACTGACTTTACTATTCACTTTTGATTTCAATTTCAATATTATCGATTGGTGGAGTATAGCAAGAGTGCCAATTTGAAAATGTAGCCATGTTACATTTTCACGTCAAACACTGGTTTGAGCAACTATCTTATATGTTTCTGTGGGGCTGAATGAGTGAAGGGAATCACCAGTTGCCTTGGGGCCAAGGCTCCCCCAGAGGGTGTCCAGTCAGTGCAGACTCCCAGTGGCTGCGCCAGTGACTGGCATTGTTGCGTTTCCCCATGAGAGCAGCCACCAAGTCCCTCAGTCCTTGCTTTGCTCTCTGGAGTCACTGATTTGAGACCCTTTGATTTTAGCCATTTCATTGAGGGACACCACATTTACCAAATCTAAAACATTTTTGCTGTGATTCTTGAGATGCTGTGAAATGCTTCCCCATCAATTTTAAATTTTCTGATTCAAATTTTTGAATAGATAATACAAACACATAATACAGACTACTAAGACATTAGAAGGATACACAAGGAAGTGAGTCACCATTTCCACTTCTGTCTGTCAGTGTTAACCTCAGTAGAGGCTGCCATTGTTTTTAGGATTTTTTTGTTTGTTTTTATTGTATGTATTACAATATATCTTTTGTTTATATTGTATGTAATGTAGGATACATTTATCTTTCTAAAGGTAACAAATTCTGTAACATTCTTTTTACAAAATAATAGTTTTATTGAAATATAATTATATGCTATACAATTCACCCTGCATATACTATTCTACATTTTGCTTTATCAGCTTTTTATTAAGAAGATGCATAAACATATGTAAAGGAGAGAGAACAGTATAAAGAACCTCCATATATCCATCAGTGCAGATTCTGCAATCATTAAGGCTTCACAACACATGCTTTCTCTCTCTCTCTTTTCATCTTCCTCCTCCCTCCGGTCCTCTCTCCTCCTCCTTCCCTCTTTTTTGCTAAAATACTAGAAAACAAATCCAAGATATTATGTCAATCTACCCTATATGTTTTAATAAGCACCTCTAAAAATACTGCCTGTTGCTTTTTGATGTAGTAATGCGTCTTGAAATTGATCATATCAGTATATTTTAAATTGCTTCATTTTTAACGGCCCTATGGCATTTTAACATATAGATATGCTGTTATTGATTTGTTCAATTTCCTAATGATATTTAGGTTTTTCCAGTCTTTTACTATTGTTTAAATATTCATGGTGTATTTATATACGGTTTACACACATATATGTATACACACATATCATTTTACCTATATGTGAGTATATAAATAGGATAAATTCCTAGAAGGGAACTTGCTGAGTCATAGGATATGTTGATTGTAGTATTACAGATATAAAGTTCCCTCCATAAAGGTAGTTCAAATTTATATTCCCACCAAGCAGGGTTATAAGGGTACAAGTTTCTCCACAGAGAGTTATCGAACTTTTTTATTTTTTTCAATGTAATAGGTTAAAAATTTTACCTTATTTTGGGATTAACTATTAATATTATTTACTCATTACTCTATTGGGTTGTTGGCCTTTTTTTCTTATTGATTTATGGAACTCTTAATTAAGTAACAAATCCATTTGATGTGAAATGTATGATAATATTTTCCATTTATTGCTTCCCATTTGGATTTGTTTGTGGTGATGTTTTTCCCCAAATAAATTTAACTTTTTAAAGTAAATATAGCAATTATTTTGAAATGATTTCCTTTATTATGCATTTTCTACTTCAACATTTTTTTCCAATTCTTCCATATTTTTCCCTAATCTCTTTTTCTTTTCTTTCTTTCTTTTCCTTC